GATGGATTACACGCCTGCTCGCCTCTTCGCTTGTCACCCAGCCATACCGCCGTCGTTATCAGGCACGGTCTGTCGACTCGCTTGGGCAAAGTTTCGTTCCTTTGTCCCCCCCCCTTCCCGGGAACGAGAACTCAAGAGACCAGGAACGTAAAAAACATTTGCGAGGGTGACCTGTCAACGATCGGGTCCGCGCGCGATCCCAACCGAGTCGTTTTGCGGGCAGTTCTCGAATGTGGCAAAACAAATGTGCACTCAAATGATGCCGGCGTACACGCTGGACGCCGAAGGGGATCCCTTAACGTCCGCCGCGCAGGAGACCACTCGGGGCAACGTTGCCGCTGCCGTCGCGAGACCGCGAGCGACGGCAGCGATCCACTCTCGTTCCTGCACGCGAGGCAATTTCATTGCCCCATCTCCAGGGTTGAACGTAACGGACGGAAGTGTATGGCGTGGAGGGCGTGCGTTCCCTCCTACGGCTGCCACTCGGTTGTTAGTCTCAGCCACCGGTCGCCGTACGTGTGTGTGTGTGTGTTGAACTTCTTTCGCACCATACGTAGCCAACCGTGCTGATTGGAGGTGTGGAGGAAAGACAACAAACTAAAACACAACAAGCAGTTCTAAAGAAATGAGTTTTTAACGTAGATTAAAAAGTGCACAGCTCCAGTGGCTTCCTAGTATCGAAAGGAAGAGCGTTCAAGATGGCCACATCATCAACATCATCACCACCATCATTGTACGTATGTTGAACTTATTTCGTACCGCACATAGACAACCTTGCTCATTAGATATGCAGGGGTAAGGACAACAAACTGAACACAACAATATACAGTTCTAAAGAAATGAGTTCTCAATCTGGGTGACGATTATAAAAGTGGCTAGCTCCCAGTGGCTTCCTAATATCGAATAGAAGAGCGTTTGAGAAGGTCCGCAGAAGCAGCGCATCTGAAAGCGCGCGATGCGGCAACCGTCTTTGTTCGGCGGTTATCCATAAGCCGCTGCTGCCGCCGCTGCTGCTGCTGCGAGGATGACCGGAGTTTGCGAGATGATGGTTTACGCTCCTCCACGAGGTCGGCAGCGAGGTGTATTGCGGCTCGTTTGCGTACGAGCGCTTCGTCGCGTTCTCCAATCGTCGCGCTTTTCCCCCTTCTCTGTCTCAGGCGCAACTTGTCCAAGTCGCGACGACACTGGGTTAGGGCAAGCAGGGGTGTTTGCCCTACTCGACTAGCTCCCTACTCGGCTGACTGCGTGCTCTGCTAACTCCACGCTCGGCTAACTCCACGCTCGGCTAACTTCCTTCTCGACTAACTCCACGCTCGGCTAGCTCCCCTCTCGACTAACTCCCCTCTCAGCTAACTCCACGCTCGGCTAACTCCCCTCTCAGCTAACTGCACGCTCGGCTAGCTCCCCTCTCGACTAACTCCACGCTCGGCTAGCTCCCCTCTCGACTAACTCCCCTCTCAGCTAACTCCACGCTCGGCTAACTCCACGCTCGGCTAACTCCCCTCTCAGCTAACTCCACGCTCGACTAACTCCACGCTCGGCTAACTCGCCTCTCGGCTAACTCCCCTCTCGGCTAACTCTCTTGTCGGCTAACTCCCCTCTCGGCTAACTCCCCTCTCAGCTAACTCCACTCTCGACTAACTCCCCTCTCAGCTAACTCCACGCTCGACGAACTCCCCTCTCAGCTAACTCCACGCTCGGCAAACTCCACGCTCGACTAACTCTACGCTCGGCTAATTCCCCTCTCGGCTAACTCCCCTCTCAGCTAACTCCAAGCTCGGCTAACTCCCCTCTCAGCTAATTCCACGCTCGGCTAACTCCCCTCTCAGCTAATTCCACGCTCGGCTAACTCCCCGCTCGGCTAACTCCCCTCTCAGCTAACTCCCCGCTTGGATAACTCCCCTCTCAGCTAACTCCCCTCTTGGCTAACTCCCCTCTCGACTAACTCCCCTCTCGACTAACTCCCCTCTCAGCTAACTCCCCTCTCAGCTAACTCCACTCTCGACTAACTCTACGCTCAGCTAACTCCCCTCTCAGCTAACTCTCCTCTCGGCTAACTCCCCTCTCAGCTAACTCCCCTCTCGGCTAACTCCCCACTCAGCTGACTCCCCTCTCAGCTAACTCCCCTCTCGACTAACTCCCCTCTCGGCTAACTCCCCTCTCAGCTGACTCCACGCTCAGCTAACTCCACTCTCGACTAACTCCCCTCTCAGCTAACTCCACGCTCGGCTAACTCCCCGCTCGGCTAACTCCCCTCTCAGCTAACTCCACACTCGGCTAACTCCCCTCTCAGCTCACTCCCCTCTCGGCTAACTCCCCTCTCAGCTAACTCCCCTCTCAGCTAACTTCCCGCTCGGCTAACTCCCCTCTCAGCTAACTCCCCGCTCGGCTAACTCCCCGCTCGACTAACTCCCCTCTCAGCTAACTCCCCTCTCAGCTAACTCCACTCTCGACTAACTCCACACTCAGCTAACTCCCCTCTCAGCTAACTCCCTTCTCGGCTAACTCCCCTCTCAGCTAACTCCCCTCTCGGCTAACTCCCCTCTCAGCTGACTCCCCTCTCAGCTAACTCCCCTCTCGACTAACTCCCCTCTCGGCTAACTCCCCTCTCAGCTGACTCCACGCTCAGCTAACTCCACTCTCGACTAACTCCCCTCTCAGCTAACTCCACGCTCGGCTAACTCCACGCTCGGCTAACTCCCCGCTCGGCTAACTCCCCTCTCAGCTAACTCCACACTCGGCTAACTCCCCTCTCAGCTAACTCCCCTCTCGGCTAACTCCCCTCTCAGCTAACTCCCCTCTCAGCTAACTCCCCCACTCGGCTAACTCCCCTCTCAGCTAACTCCCCGCTCGGCTAACTCCCCGCTCGGCTAACTCCCCTCTCGACTAACTCCCCTCTCGGCTAACTCCCCGCTCGGCTAACTCCCCTCTCGGCTAACTCCACGCTCGGCTAACTCCCCTCTCGGCTAACTCCCCGCTCGGCTAACTCCCCTGTCAGCTAACTCCCCTCTCGGCTAACTCCCCTATCGACTAACTCCCCTCTCGACTAACTCCACGCTCGACTAACTCCACGCTCAGCTAACTCCTCTCTAGGCTAACTCCCCTGTCACCTAACTCCCCTCTCAGCTAACTCCCCGCTCGGCTAACTCCCATCTCGGCTAACTCCCCTCTCAGCTAACTCCCCTCTCGACTAACTCCCCTCTCAGCTAACTCCCCTCTCGACTAACTCCCCTCTCAGCTAACTCCCCTCTCGACTAACTCCACGCTCGGCTAACTCCCCGCTCGGCTAACTCCCCTCTCAGCTAACTCTCCTCTCAGCTAACTCCCCGCTCGGCTAACTCCCCTCTCGACTAACTCCACTCAGCTAACTCCCCTCTCGGCTAACTTCCCTCTCGGCTAACTCCCCTCTCAGCTAACTCCCCGCTCGGCTAACTCCCCTCTCGGCTAACTCCCCTCTCGACTAACTCCCCTCTCAGCTAACTCCCCTCTCGGCTAACTCCACGCTCTGCTAACTCCCCTCTCAGCTAACTCCCCTCTCAGCTAACTCTGCGCTCGACTTAACTCCCCTCTCGGCTAACTCCCCTCTCGGCTAACTCCCCTCTCAGCTAACTCCGCGCTCGACTTAACTCCCCTCTCGGCTAACTCCCCTCTCGGCTAACTCCCCGCTCGGCAAACTCCGCGCTCGGCAAACTCCATGCTCGGCAAACTCCGTGCACCGCCCTCGCGAAACAACCCGATGCCGCCGCCACCTGCGTCTTGCGGCCTCACTTGGCTTTCGTTCGTCCCCCGCAGAAGCGCGCGACGCCCCGCTGCCTTGGCCTGCTTTTTTGTTCGCGCGCATAATGTATGCCGGTGTTTGTTGTTATCGGTGCCTCGGAGGAAATATCGCTCGATCGCTCGCTCGCGTGCGCACACAAACGCACGCACACGCACGCGCCATCACGCGGCTCGACGCTGCTGTTGTTCCAGGCGCGAGTGACTCACTCGCTCGCCTCCACCACCACCACCACGTCGGGGTTAGGGACGGCGGGGCGATGTTCACGAGGCACTGGGGGCCGCAATCCTCCACTTGTCGGGTGGGCGAGCGGCCCGGCAGCGCCGGCTCGCTGGACGACCACGTCCGCCCCGCAAGCACTTTCAGATGCGGCGCTTCTGCGGATCGTCTGGAACGCTCTTCCTTTTGATATTCAGAAGCCGCTGGGAGCGATATGCACTTTTAAATCATCTCGATTAGAAACTCATTTTATCTTTTTTACTGCTTGTTGTTGCGTTTAGTTTGTTGTCCTTCCCCCCACACTTCCGATGAGCACGGTTGGCTACGTACGGTGTGAAAGAAGTTGAACGTAGATACATACATGATGGTGGTGATGATGTTGATGGTGGTGATGGTGTTGAGGAGATAGCTGCATGATGAGGAAGTGGGAGATGTTGACGTTGATGGTGGTCATGGTGGCGATGTTGATGATGCGGCTGTCTGGAATGCTCTTCCGATATTACAAAACTATCATCTAGATTGAAAACGAATTGTTTAGAACCGCTTTTTGTGTTTAGTTTATTGTTCCTTCCCCTGCAACTCCGATCAGCACGGTTGGCTACGTACGGTATGAAAGAAATTCAACATACATCTCGCCGAGGTGGTGAGATGTTAATTACCTCGCCTGGCATGCAGTATGTCATGGGTTTGATCCCGGCCCTGACGCCTGCTGCTGTATTTTTGGAGTTTGCATGTCTCTCTCTCTCTCCCCGTGGGCGCGTGGATTTTTCTCCGGATCCTCCGCTTTTTCCCTTCACATTTAGTATCGACATCACCGATTCATAGAGTATTTGGCTGCTGTACATTTCCACACGGCTATCAGCGACTCTCGTTGGGCTATCATTTGCGATGGCCAGGGTCGCTTCTGAATAAACAGCTGCTCAGCTCGGTGGAGCCTTACCTGGTAAAATACAAAATGTTTTTTTTGCTCATGCAACGTGGTTATTTTTTTCTACTTTTTTGACAGAGATCACGCGAGTTCGCCACGCTGCGAGCAAGCGGGATGAGCCCAAGTACCTGGAGATCCTGGCTAACAAGTCCATCAAGCTGTCCGAGAAGGTGCTCATACCGGTGAAGGAACACCCCAAGGTGAGCGGTGGTGGCGGTGGTGGTGGGCCTTGCACGACCATCACAGCAGGATTGTGCGGCGGCTTTTCGGCGCTCACTGCTTCACTCCAGTCACTTGCTCTATCACTGCTACCATTGTTACTGTTCCCATCAACTTCTATCACTCATCTATCACTGCTACCATAGTTACTGTGCCCGTGAACTTTACCCGTTGATTCCTCCACCCGTGTTGAGGGCTCGGTCTGTACCAGACACTTTCATCTTCACCACAACACTTTGTTCAACCACTACACTCCAGGTCACAACAACTCGCCCACACGCTCACCCACTCACACACTCACCCACATACCCACCCACCCACATACCCACCCACCCACTCACCCACTCACTCACCCACCCACTCACTCACTCACATGCCCTCTCACCCATCCAGTCACCCACTTACTACACTGGAGGTCTCAACAACTCACCCAATTCACCCACATGCTCACCCACTCACACGCTCATCCTCCCACCTACTCACTCATCACCTCACACGCCCACTCACTCACCCAGTCGCTCACTCACTACACCGCAGGTCTCAAAAACTTTTCATCCACCCACTCACCCACCCACTCACCCACTCACCCACCCACACTCATCCACCCACTCACCCACTCACTCACTCACCCACCCACTCATTCACCCACCCACTCACTCACCCACCCACACTCATCCACCCACTCACTCACTGACCCACTGACCCACCCACACGCCCACTCACCCACCCAGTCACTCACCCACCCACTCACTCACCCACTCACCCACCCACACTCATCCACCCACTCACCCACTCACTCACTCACCCACCCACTCATTCACCCACCCACTCACTCACCCACCCACACTCATCCACCCACTCACTCACTGACCCACTGACCCACCCACACGCCCACTCACTCACCCACCCACTCACTCACCCACTCACCCACCCACACTCATCCCGTCTTCCCCCCCCCCACAAGTTCTTCTAGTCTTGTAACCAACAATCATGACACGGGACGAAAGGAGAAGCTGCGTGCAAGCGAGGCGGCGTAGGAATCTCCAGTGGTGATTATCTGAACCCAGTCCTTGGCCTCCCCTAGGAAATGTTGAATTGGCTACAAGCAGGTGTTATTGGCTGCCATATGACGTGGCATTTCTGTCAGCCAGCGTTGCAGTTAAGGGGCCTTTCTCTGTGTGTGTGTGTATATATACTGTGTGTATGTACTATTCATATGTGTGGGGACTGGAAGTGAAACGGCTAGCGCACCGCGCTACGAACCCGGTGACCCGAGTTCGCTTCCTGCTAATGGCCAACACCAGTGATGATTATCTGAACCGGTTCTGGGCCTCCTCTAGGTCGACTCAGCCTCAAACGAGTACCTTGTGTGGTGTGTAAACATCGTCACTAGGAAGACAAAGGCAGCCAGGCGTGGTGCTGGCCACCCACCCTCTCGTGTGCCATAGTGCCGGCCTTCATTGGTGCTACTCGCTAACAGCACTTGCCCCAACAGTTTGTTAAGGCTGTACAGGGGGGATGGGCATCTTTGTGGGGATCTTCCTGTGGACTGACGCTTCTCTCCACTCGTCGCCTCGCAGTTCAACTTCATCGGGAAGCTGCTGGGGCCGAAGGGAGAGACGCTGAAGCAGCTGCAGGCCAGCACGGGCGCCCGCATGGCCATTTGCGGGCGGGGGTCGATGAGGGACAAGCAGAAGGTACGGTGGGGGGGGGGGGTTAACACCGTGGCACCGGGTCCATACGCTCACCCACTCGCTCGCAAGCTCGCCCGATCGCTCACCATCTCGCTCGTCCACTCACCCACTCGCTGGCAAGCTCGCCCGATCACTCACCAACTCGCTCTCCTGCTCGCTCGCTCGCTCATCATCCCAACCCACTCGGTTGCTCACTCACCAATTCTCTCACCCGCCCGCCTGACGAGTGGGCGGGTGACAAGCGGAAGCTGCGGAGACGGCGTTGCTGCGACGCTCGTCACAGTTTCACTTCTGTCACCGGTCACCACATCGCGTGAGTGTATCTTATGGGCCGTGCGCTCGGTGTTGTGCATCTGTCGGGTTAAGCCACTTTCACTTTTGGTCCCACACGGGCCGTGCCCGCCCTGCGCTTGGTGATAGTTTCATTCTTTGCGGTTCACATGGCGGCTGACTGTTTCAAAAGAAGTCCGTGTGTCGGTGTGCGTACGTGCGTGTGTGTGTCTGTGTGTGTCTGTTTAACAGCAGAGGTCTCACTCCAAATCAGTCGAGCGGCAATATCTTTTCATCTGTTGCATAACGCTGTGTGGAAGCTACCTGGTCTGTCGCTCCGCACTAAGCTTCAGGTCTTCTCGGCCACGGTCATTCCCTCCCTTCTCTACGCTTGCGAAACGTGGACCCCCCCTAATGGAACATCTTCGCCGGTTAGAAACATTTAGGCTGGCCTGCCTACGATCCATCCTGGGTTTAACCAGACTGGATTGTGTGAGGAGCTCACAAATCCTTGAAAGATCTGGGCAAGGTCCCATCGGTGAGCTCCTCCGGCAGGCAAGGCTGCGATGGCTGGGTCATGTAGCCCGCATGCCCAGCCAACGCATGCCGAAACAGCTTTTGTTCGGCCGGATTGAGGGGGCAAAGCGGGCGCGGCACGGGCTAGAGAAGAGATGGAGTGATGTGGTACAGGAGGACGTGGAGCTGAGTGGACTTGCCGATGACTGGTACCAGCGGTGTCAAGATCGACCTCTGTGGAGGAGGCTCGTGAAGGATGCTACTGAGCAGTTGGAGGTAGTCGCCCTCCAACAACAACGGAGGGCGGAGGAGCGACGCTCACAACAACGAGCGGAGCGCCGGGTGGCTAAAGCACAGCAGGTTGGCACAGTAGGGGGCACAGGTGGTGCATCAGCCAGTCATCTCAGTCAGTCGACCCGTGGCACCTGGGTCTGCCCCGTGACCTCCTGCCAGCGGGCGTTCGACACTTCACGTGGCCTCAGGGTGCACATGGCCTGGCACAAGCGTCGTGGTGACGTCACCGCCACTTAGTGGCGAATGGCGGTTATTGTTGTGTGTGGCTGTGTGCGTGTGTGGCTGTGTGTGTGGCTGTGTGCGTGTGTCTGTGTGCGTGTGTCTGTGTGCGTGTGTGTCTGTTTTTGTTCTGCACGGTTATATATTGCGGCGCTGTCTTCTTCAACGTGGATGCATTTTCGTAGGGGCCTCTCCGTGTGTTGAAAAGTTGACGCAACGGAAAACACTCAGCCGACAAATCGAGAATTGTCGCAGTGTTTTTCGGAGTTCCTTCGAAAGTTCCCCCCGCCAATCGGCGTTCGCCGTTCCCGATGGTGGTAGTGACGCGAGCCTCGCCCACCTTCGCCGCTCTTACAAACGAGGCCCACGCTGCCATCGTGACATCTGCGGCCCGGCTCGCCCAGAACCAACGTCACTTTGACCCCTGGCTGCCATCGCCTGGGTTTGACCGCCGGTCACCGCGTGCCCGGCGACTGCACGGCGCCCCGGTCACGTCCGCCCGCCCGCGCGGAATGGCGTCACGCCAACCCGTCCCCGCGGAGGAAGCTCCGCAATCGTGGGTACGGGAGGGCCGCCGGCACGCGGCCACGGGGGCCCCCACCCCGGCCGCGCCGGTGGGTCTACTGAGTGCACAGTGGAGGAGGCATCGGTCGTCCCGTCGCTGCTCCGTGTTTCTGTGCTCACCAGTGTCCGTGTTTCTGTGCTCACCAGTGTCCGTGTTTCTGTGCTCACCAGTGTCCGTGTTTCTGTGCTCACCAGTGCTTGTCTGACGCCTATGGCGGGCGGGGTTTGGGGGGGGGGGGCGGTCGGCAACCATCTTGGTAAAAAAATCAAAGTTAACATTTCAAGAGCCGCCGCAGTGAACGCGATTATGTCACGGCATATCCTTCGTACAAAATAACGTTACGAAGCGCCACGGAGGGTATAGACCGCACCCCATTCCCGGGTTCATGGCTCCTCCGCCTTCTTTCACCAATAAAAAAAACTCCCCAGCCCACGGTGAAGTATGGTCAAGTTAACCGATGCTGAAACGTGGACGGTCGTGAGCCCACCCTGGGTGGTTCACCGTGGCTCACCGTGGCTCACCGTGACGAGTTGACAGTGAGGACGTCAGCAAGGGAGGCAGTCGACTGGCAGTAAGCCTATAATTCTGAGGCTTTGCGATGGCGTGTCTTAAGTCTGGTTCGTAAGAGACAATAGAAAAGAAGAGTCGACGCCGGGCGTGCACGTTAAGCCCCAAAATAATGCCGGTAACCCAACGACAGCCCTGCGTCACCGGCGGCATGGGGGACGGGCCCATTCGGAATGCCAGACTCAAAATTATCTTACCACCACCATCTACATCATCGTTAACCGTTCCCCGATAGGTTACATCTTGTAACCTACCACCTGGGAAATGCGCTCCCCCCCCCCCCCCACATCTCTTCACTTCTGGGAAGTTATGAGAGGCCGGATGTGGCGGAACAGTTGCTATAGGCTGTGGGGTAATGCGGTGGGCAGCAGGGCGGGCGGGGGGGGTGGTGCAGAAAAATCCATCGGCGTGCCCCACAACTACGCCACCACATCCATTCTGCCCGCCTTCGCCAATGCGAACTGACCGGTGCGGTGGTGAAGTGTGCTCGTCCAGCGTTGGTGTGCTCAAAAGGGGAATGGCCGCGTAGCGTACATCATCGTGAATGACCGCGTGGCGTACATCATCGGCGTGGGAATTCAATTGAAGAGTCCCCACCATTGGGATCCTGTCTCTGCTGACGTGAATGTGCAGCAGAAAGACCCAGCGTGGAGGATCCCCCGGTGTTTGATCTTCCACGAAGCTGCTCATGGTCCACCCTACACCGCATCTGCCGCACAAGCCATGGCAGTAGATGCGGATGCCTGGTGCACAAGTGGAAAGTGTGAAACTCTGCGGCAGTGTACGCCTGTGGACGTCCAGAACGGAGACCGTACGCAACGCCCAAATCTACAAGTACGAAGGAGAGAGACATGGCAGCGTCGACGACGCTGATGACACACTACTCCGCTAGCTCCTGACGCTGTTGTCTGCTGGATTGACCACCTGAATGTGAGACCGTAGCCGCTGTTGTTGCTCTGCATTCGCATCAGCAGCCGGACGACAAGAAGAAGGAGAAGATGAAGAGGGAGTGTCGCCGCCGCCGCTAGATCGGTTCCACGGTGCCCCCCCCCACCCGCGTGTGCCCCCCTGCGCCCCCCCCCCGCCCTCCCCCCACCCAGCGTGTGGGAACGTGTGAGAACCTGTGGGAGCCGCGGTCGCCGGCTTTTCGGGCGGATTATTGGGACGGGTGCCACGGCGGTCTCGTCTAACTCATGTTGCCACCACCCCGACGTGTGTTTGCTTGTTTGCGAGCGGGGGCCCACCCTGCGCGGCTTGCACACACACACTCACACACTCTCGCCCGTGCCAGCGCCGGTGTTGGAGACGGAGCTTTGTGCCCAGATTAGTTGCGTGCATTCTTAGGTGCGTGCGTAGGTGCGTGTTAATGTCAGGTTGGCGGTGCTCTCTACCTTGCGGTGACGGAATGGGATTCGGTTGGAGAGCGCGGTTGGCGTCACTCGTGCGGCGTGGCGAATCGAACCCAGGGCCTGGGTTCGATTCCCCAATCTGGGTGCCTGTATGTGTGGAGGTTTGTAGGTTCTCACCCCTGTTCTGCATGGGATTCCTCTGGGGGGGGGGGGGGGTGGTTGGGCTTCCTACTAGAGCTAAAAAAAAATGCATAAAATGTAAACTGCTATTGGCCAGACGCATCCACAAGATAATGAATTATACCAGGAAATATTTGCTGAGTTTGAAGTTTTTGCTGCTGGGGCAATGTTACCAATGGAGAGTGTGGTGAGTCTCAGTGTGAGGTGTCTGTGGATCACTGTGTGGTGATTCTGTGGCTCTTCGTGTGAGGAGCCTGTGGGTCTCCATGTGAGTCCCGTGGGTCTCTATCTAAGTCTGTGGCTGTCTGTTGTCGCGGCTCTTGTGAGCCGAGTGTGTCAGTCTCTCTCTGTGTGTTTGTGCCAGGGCTGTGCGATACAATGCTGAGTTGCACCGCGGCTGTCTGAAGTGTGGCCGCATCCCATGAATGCCGCGCCGAAACAGTGGGGACGTTAACTGCTTGGGCGCTTTATTGATTTCCGGAATCCAGATCTATTCTGGACTGCGTGAAAGTTGACTCGGGTCTCCTGTGCGTTCCCGGTGCAATTGTCGACACTGATTGCTCCCGGAGTCACAAAAGGGTGGCCCTCACTGCGGCTACTGAGTGTGCCCCCACTGACCAACGCAGGTGCTGTGCAAACAGCCGTTCTGTAAAACCAACGTGAGTGTGTGTGTGTGTTCATCTGAGAGCAAATCTTTTTGTAGTGCGTTGTGTTTGTGTGTGTTTTTACATGAAACGGTGTTCGACGGTCATTCTTCTTCCCGTTGTGCAACCTTTATCCATCACAAATTGATTACTGCGCGACGTGGACTGTGGTAACTGAAGTTTGCGTGCACGTGCGGTGACGCAGAGTAAACACGCCCGGTGCCGATGACTTCTGGGCGTTCAGGTGCAACGCTGTCTCGATACAGGTGATGACAGGAACGGTGGCTGTGTGTGTGTGTGTTTGTAGGGAGTGGTGGTGTAGCGGTTAGCACGCTGAGCTACGATCCCAGTTCGATTCCCGCTCACGGCCAACACCAGTGAGGATTATTTGAACCGGTC